AGTTTTCGTGGAAAAGAATTATTTCAAGCCCAGCGGTTGCGTTTAGCTGTCAGCGCTTCACTCAAACAGAGTAAGCTGACTCTGATGCACTAGTTTGGATTCATTTGAGGGTCTTGGAAGGAACCTGGATTACTGGGTTAAGCAGACCCTTGCTAACAGCTAATAAGCCTTTTCACTGTCATAATTTCTAAGTGTTGTCCCATAAAAGCTTTCCAGACTGCAGCATTCTGCAAAAGTCTCTGATTGTACCCGCTTTTGTCTTCCTCCCTCTGCTGTCTTTGAACCCTAGACTCCGGGCTGGTTGTTCCCAGCGTGTCTTACGAGCTTCACAAAAAGCTGCTCTCGGTTGCTGAGAAGCACGGGCTGACTCTGGAGCGGAGGCTGGAGATGACGGGAGTGTGTGCGAGTCAGATGGCCCTGAGCCTCCTCGGGGGACCCAACAGGTAAAGCTGTTCCCTTTCGCTCGGCCGTGGGTTTGCCCCCTCTAAGAAGAGCCTAGCTTATCTTGTTCTGCTAAGTGGGCTTGAGGTGAAAGAGGGCCAAGAGGTTACTCTTGAGGTAAATGTGACGTGGATGCCTGCTGCCGCTTGCGCGGGAGGCAGCTGTCAGCTCTCTGCCTTCCTTGCCTCTAAAGGAAAAAAACCTCATCCCAGTGCCGTACAGTCCTGTGTTGTAGCTCGTGTATCAGCCTGTTTCCAAGTAATCATGAAAACAAGTGTGAGGCTCGGGCTCCTGAAGTGGGAGGAAGCCTTACAGTAGGCTTCCATGCCCGTGCTGCTTTTTTTTTTTTCTCCTCTCTAGCCTCTCTAGAAAAGGGCTGGCTGAACATACCATCTTGGATGAGTGACTTCCTAAGGGCTTCTTTTTGGCTCCTGTGCCCCAGAAGCAGAAGTGTCTCTTGAGTCCATGACAAAACAGACAGAGCTGAGATTTTTCTCTCCGCTTACGGGGAATTTTTTCAGGGAATTGTGCTTTGCACAGGTGTAACCCAAGGCAGATTAAACCACTGCAGAATTTCTGGCGAGCTATTCCTTTTTGCCAATAAGTAAAACCTTCCTTTGTTGTTTTTACATGTCACGGTTTAACGATATCAACAAAACCAGAAGTCAGCACATGAAAACAAAGTGCTGCTTAGTTTTTCACAATGCTAAACGAGCTTTCAGGCATCTACACCTAAACTGAGACTATCCTGCTCTTTTGGCGGGCCCAATTTGATAGCAGGTTTGGAGTGCGCTTACTGCTCTTTGCATGAATATATGTGCTGACTCGTTTGAAGAGGTCCGCTCTGTGCCTGCACTTACCGTAGTTGTTGATGCGGGCTGACAACTGCACGTGTATTTTTATGCTGTTGATAGATGCTCCAAGTTACTTGCTCTTGAAATGGAAGGTAAGCCTTAAGTTTCCATCTGTTTATTTGGTGGTACTTTACCAGGACCTGATCATTTGGTTGAGAGCAGTAAGTGATGACGCACCAGGCAGCACTGACCCTATCTGCTGAAAATCCTACTGTAAGCCACCCGTGATGGCTTGCAGGCCATTTAAATAAATCAACTTTATTTTGCAGTTGACGAGGAATAGCAATTAGGGAGTAGAAATTATTTTTCTTCTTTTTTTTTTTAACTGTGGCTCTACTGATGGAGTAAATCACCCCATATTTTTAAGATTGTATAGTTAGCGTTCTTCTAAAATCAAGAGGGTCAGAGGAAAAAAAGCCTCCTAAAAGTCAAATGGCACTGGATTCAGGCTCGCGACATGAGCAGTGAAAACGCCCCCTGCTTTGAAAATGCAAGTGGGCCTCGTGACGAACCAGGATAGACTGGGACCTTGTGCTCTCCGTTGTGGGTGCAAGGAAGCCTTGAAGGGAACCTGCAAGCAGAGCAGCTCTCTAGTGTCAGCGCTACAAAAGGATGTGGGTTCCTTCTCGGAGGCAACGGAAGATTTGCAAAACACCTGTAAATTTGCATTTTACTGCTTTTTTTTTTCTTTTTTTTTTTTTTCTCACAGGAAGAAGGTAAGAGATTCTTGGGTTTATTAAGTCCCCTTTTGTCTGCGTTTTAGGCTGAACCCGAAGAACGTGCATCAGCGGCCCACGGTAGCCCTGCTGTGCGGCCCCCACGTGAAGGGGGCCCAGGGGATCAGCTGCGGACGGCACCTCTCCAACCACGACGTCCACGTCATCCTTTTCCTACCCAACTTTGTCAAGATGCTGGAATCCATCACCAACGAGCTGAGCCTTTTCAGCAAGACGCAAGGCCAGCAGGTGTCCAGCGTCAAAGGTAAGTGAGCGAGGAGCGGATCTGCTCTCCGCCACCCTCGCGCCTCGCCCGGACCTGTGCCGCTCAGCTCGCCAGTGCCTGCCCGGTCCGGTGGCACCATCTAGTGGCACCGCCATAGGCAGGTGGCTGGTCGGAGGCTGGCGGGGGACAGCAGAGACTCGAGAGGTTCAACAGTGGAGCGGTTGTGCTGGTACAGATGTTTCCTGTATGAACAAATAGGGAAGAGCTGCTGTATGGATCTGAGTCAGACCAGCCGTTCTCTTAGGATAAGGGCCTTCCTCGTTCAGCATGTGGAAACTGCCACTAAATGAGCATCCAGCTGCTGCTTCCAACCAAGCCGACGGCTTGGCTGAACTAGTCCCAGCAGCTGTCAAAATTCACATCTCTTAGTTTGCCCCAGAATAAACTGATGCTCCGTCTTCTGCGAGAGAGCTGGCTGCCGTTTGTCGTTTCACCAGCGGTATTCTCAAACCCGTTTCATTTAAACTTCTTGGGAGAAACAAACCTGGTAATTAGGGCGGCGCACAATGTTTTGTGTTGTGGCGGGGTGGGGGACTGCGCTGTGCTGGCTGAGCTACTTGTCTGTTATAAAAGATCATAAAAGATTTTGCACCAAGGACTTTGTGGTCCCTGAGGTAAGAGGAACGCAGCAGATGTGGTACAGAGCGGGTGAGTGCAGTGAGGCCGACGGAGCTCAGTGCGCAGGCAGCAGTGCAGCACGCAAGCTGCCTTTCCATAGCAGAGGTAGTCGGCGCGTTCCGGGAAAAATAGGCCTCTTTTTCAGCTTGTGGAATATAAAATGGTCCTTTTATAACGGAGAGAGAACACCACTGCTTCCCTGGGCTGCCTGGACTGGTGAGCCAGCTCAGCGGCAGCGTCTGGGGCTGCTCAAGTGCTGACCACTTGATGAGATTTTGTACCTGAGAGTCTGTGAACGTTCTCCAGAGTGCTAAAGAGCTTTTAAATATCGGTGTCGGCGTCTTTTGCAGAAGGACAGCAATAACAACAGGTAAGGCTAGACTGTATGCAGTGAGACTGTGGGTGCTGGAGGGGGAAAAAAATTAAAAAAGAAATATCTGCTGGCAGTTGCAAGGAGGGAAGGCACTGAGCCTTAGTTCGTGGCTTCAGGTTGGTCCTCAGCGCTCAACGGTGTTTGTGTTTCTTTCAGATCTCCCAGATACCCCTGTTGACCTAGTGATCAACTGCCTGGATTGTCATGAAAATGCCTTTTTGAGAGATCAGCCCTGGTACAAAGCAGTTGTGGACTGGGCCAACCAGAACCGGGCACCCGTCCTCAGCATAGACCCTCCGATAAACGAAATGGAGCAGGGCATCGACGCCAAGTGGTCGCTGGCCTTGGGCCTGCCCCTGCCCCTGGGCGAGAGGGCAGGGCGCGTGTACCTCTGTGACATTGGCATTCCCCAGAAGGTCTTTCAAGAAGTGGGAATAAACTACCACTCGCCCTTCGGCTGCAAATTCGTCATCCCCCTGCACTCCACTTAGAGCCCATCCAGCCACACGGCTCTGAAGGGAGAGAAGAGAGAAGGAGGAGGTCTGTCAAATAAGCTGTCCGGTGGATCCTGACTAGTAAACTCGTGACGCCTTAAGGATGTGAAGTTCTGGAGCGTTTTCCTTCCAGAAGAAACATTGTGTATTTAAAAAAAAAAAAAAAAGAATAATCATGAAATGAAACAAAAAAAAGAAGGAAGCGAATGTTCCTGCAAAGCTGTTTTCATTCTCTTGTGCCATTGTGTGAAGGAACACGCAGGAAGATGCTGTCTGTCCCTGGCGAAGGTGGCCAGTGCTGCCCAGGCCCGGCCGGGAGGCTGTTTAACGAGGGGGTGTAAGTGGAGGTGGTGCAAGCGACGGGTGGTTTGGAGATTTGAGCTGTGTTTCTCAGTCCTTCTGGGCGGATGGACCCAGCAAGGGCGCCCTGCTGGGAACAGCACCCCTTGATTGTGTAGAAATACCTTCTGGAGGGAGGATTTGGTTTCGTTCCGTTGTTCTTTTTGACTCCCCCGCTCCCCTGTTTTATGTTCCTGAAGGCAGTTGTAGCTCGCTCTCCCTCCTGGACCCTCCAGCCCCTCAAGGAGAGCGTTCCCCCTTGGGAAAGCTTGTGTCAAGAGCCAGAAGCTCTCAGGTCGCCCATGCTCTGGGAACACCCGTGTCCTCAGCTACGCCTTATTTGCTTATATACTCTGTTGGCTTTTTGTTTGTTCGCTTAGTGGGTGAAGCCCAGGCCTATGGGAGCAAGGCGTGTTTTGGAAAAGAACTTTTCCAGGATAGTTGTTTTGTTTTTTGTTTTTTTTTTTTTCCTCTTTTCCTTTCTTCTTTCTGGCACAGCGAGTGGCTGAATCAGGGAAAGGGTAGTGAAGCAGGGCAGTGTCGCTCTGAGTTTGTTGCGTGCTGTATGGTGCAGTTGATGTTTGGGTGAGTTCCCCCGGTGCTTCCAGTGTTCCTCCTACACTCCGTGTGGTGTGGGAAGTAGGTCATGGATCCGTTCGTTCCCTTTGGGCTCGAAGCCTGCGTATAGGGTGGGCGTGCGTGTGTGTGTGTGCGCGCGCACCCACGTGCTGGGAACCAGCTTGAGGAGGGACTTGGGTCCTCAGCTTACACGGTCCTGTTTGCCTGCAGGAGATGGCGTGGTGAGAGCTGCTGCCCTGGAGGGGTACGGCAGGAGGTTCTTGTCTAAATTACTGTAGGGGATCTGCCCCGGGTTGCTCTGCTAACTGCGCTTGTGCTGCGCTCGCTTCCCACGCGCTGCCAGGAAGCGTCGGGTTATCTTTTCCCGCGTTCATTTTGTTGGCCCGATGGAGCCTTGGTGCGGTGCCTAGAGCAGGGACAAGCTGAGAAACCATCGGCTGGCTGGCTTCGGGAATCCATCGTGCTGGCTCTGTGAGCGCTCCCTGAAGACTTTGCGCCCGGTAGCTGACCCAGGGAAGCGCTGAACCTAGAGTGAATGAGGGAGGTGCTGTTAAGGGCGAGCTTGTTCCTCCGGAGGAACCGGGCAGATGCAAGGCAGGGGCCCTGTTCTCGCAAAGAGGCGCTCAGCTCCCTGCTTGCTCCCGATGCCGTGAGTGTGGGCAGTGCTTGAGGCTCTGCTGCTCTTCTGGTACCTCACCTGTCCCCAGAGCTCCTGCAGGTACCTTGCACAGACCCTGCTCTGGCATCTGGGAGAGCTTCACAGCTTCAAACGGTGCCTTTTCTCCAGGGGAGCTGGACCCCTTCTGAGGCCGAAGCGCAGGGACGCGTGGAAGGGGGGTCACCTGCTGTTGTAGCTGCTCTGTCGCTCTGCTGTGCTAAGCAGGTAGCAAACCTATTGACCCACTTGTGCTCGGAGTGGGGGGGGTTTACAGCTCAGGCGCTTGTCTTTCATCCGCTTAGAACAAAGGCCAAGTGTATCAAAGGAGGAGGGAAGAGTCTTCCCCGGTTGAAAAGAAGCAGTTGAGCAATTAATATTGCCTGGAAGCGTGGAGTGACGGGGGAAGACCCAGCCCGAAAGGACAGGAGGCTGGTGAGCGCTGGGCTTGCCCCCGCAGCCGCCTGAGGTCTCTTCCCCTGCCAAACCGCCTGCACCTTGCCGTATCTACCTCAGCAGGGCGAAGGGCTCTGCCCCTCTCCGTGGCTGGGCCCCTGGTTCCCCTGAGCTTCTTTCCCCGCTGAGGGTTGGACGACTGAACCGCGTCCGCGCTGGCTTACGCCGAACGCTCGCACGGGGAAGGCTTGGCCGCTCCTCAGAGCTGTGACAGGGTGTAGCTCTGCCCTCGAGCGGTTCCTCTCCCGTGGGCTGGTGCCCAGCACCTATTCCTCAGGTGAACCACATTTCAGCTAGAACTGTAGTGGCGTTTAACAAGCTGTGGTCCCGATTCGGCCGCACTGGGAAGGGATAGCAATGTGGCTGGTTATTTAAAATACAACTGTGAGGCTTCCCTCTGCCTTTTCGTGTTTCTTCGGCTGTTTCGGCTTCATCTAATCTTTAGCCAGGCAGAGGAGCAGCGGCTGGGTTAAAAAGGTGCATGACCGTCCCCTGGTCGTCGCTGTAGTACAGTGTTAGCTTTAGCCCCCTTCTTTTCACTTGCCTTGCTCAAGACGCTCGATAAGCGAACCCGCCGTTTCAATTTCTGCTTTCTGTGAACCAGGCCGCAGGCTTTTTCTCGCCTCTTCTGGGTTTGGCTATTAAACTGTAGATTGCACGCACCGCGCAGTAACAGTGTAGAAATAATGCCAGGCTTCGTCAGGGGGTCCTTTTCTGCCTCTACGCTGCTGTGCCGCTGGCTGAAGTTACGTGCCCAGAAGGGCGCCGAACCAGGTAAGGATGTTTTTGCAGGGATGGCAGCTGGGATCAGGTCTGTACTCGCTGCTGCGTAGCTCCGGGGAGCACGAAGGCCCCGTGCGTCGCCAGCCGCGCAGCAATAGGGTTCCTTTCATTTAAGAAAAAAAAAAAAAAAAAAAAAAAGTGAGCGGTGTTGCACGACAGGAGGGTGCAAACCCTCACGATAGGAAAGGGATTCCCAATCCCTACCCGTGCAGTGTTCAGGGCACAAGCAGGCAGCTGTGGGCTGCGTTTGGCACAGTTAAACTTCACAGGGTGCTCACTTTCTGGAGACTGAGAACAGATTTGGGTGTTTGGCTGTACTTTCCCTCGGATACAGAGGCTTACTTGAGGAAGTACTGGCCTCACCCACATGAAATGCATCTTGTGTGCAGGTGGTGAGCTCTTCTGGAGCACTCGAGACCCAGAAAGGGGTCTGGGTCCCTTCTTCTCCCCCTTCCCCCACGTTGCCAGAGTTAATTCAAAGAATGGGACACTTTTTTTTTTTTTTTATCTGTGTTTGAGATAGTTTTGACCCACGCCCTTAACCACCATCATAGGAACTGCCTGCGAGTGCTGCTCTGGTCACTAACACGTGAAGATCACTGCACCGCGTCACTGCTTGATATTCCATTTGTGACCTAATGTTTGTAACGACTAATTCCTGCCGCTACTGGGGGATGCCCTGAAATAAAGTGCAACTATTCATGTGTGCTATTTGTGTGCAGCTATTTATTTGTCTGCTATCATTCTAGAGCCTGACACCACAGCTGGAGCAAGTCTTCCCGCTGCTCTGCACTGTTCAAGAGGAGCAAGGGCAGAGACCAGGGAGAGTTTTTTGCCCTCCAGTGAAGCAAAGTTTTTCTGCTTAGTTTCCAGTTAATTTTTCAACATCTCCGTCTTCCTTTGCAGAAAAGGCAAAGCTGGGAGCAAGAGAACCCTACACCTGCCTACAAGGGAAGTATCAAACAATAAGAAACACTTTATTTTAACTTTACAACATATAAATAGACAAATCTGTGCTTTCCAATGTAGCTTTTCTTCCCCTCCCCTACCCAGGGTCCTTGTCGCAGTGCCCCAGCCCCTCTGAACTCTGAGAAAAGAGAGCGAGTGGGGCTGAACTGCAGAGGCTAGACCGATCCCGTATGTACAAATCCAGCAGGCATCGCACCCTCCCCAGCTGTCATCTGCTCAGGTCCCGGCTGGCACCTCGGCCGCACAGCATCCTCTCCTCTGCAGAGAGGCCAGCAAAGAAGGGATGCAGGAGGGCTTCCGAGAACGTGATCCTCCGGGAAGGGTCGAATTCTAACATCCTCCTCATCAAGTCAAAGAGCTGTGCGTGCTCCAGCGAGTCGTGCAGCATGTACGTCTGAAAGAGAAGGGCAGGGGGGAGAGAGAGAGAGGGGTGTAGCACTCCGGTAGGACAGGGACTGAACCCTGGGCCCTAGCTTTGTGATGTACAGGCTGTCTCCCCTCCTGAAGTACAGCGTTCCTCTGGCCCTTGCACTGCCCGAATTCCCTAGTGCCTGTCCTGCTTCAGTTAGACCAATAAACTTCTGTTACTGCAGATGAGAGTTTGGGGCGCCATAGAAGCCAGTTACTAAGGAGAATCCCCATCCCTAAGCCCCACACCACTGATGCGGGGAAGGGAACGGCACAGGGGCTCGGCCTCGCGACGCAGCCAGCCCTCCACCAGCCACCGAGCAGCACCTACCCGCAGGGGCTTGCAGTTCTCTTGGACGTATCTCCCGTCGGACGTGTTCTCGTCCCATACCAGGTTCCCATTGTGGAAATATTTCTGCTTCCTGCAAAGGAGAGGTGGCGTTCAGCAAGGCTACTCGGGGAGTGGGGGCACGCGGTCCCAGGAGAGCTCACCCACACGGGCAGCGGGAAGGCAGCAGCCTGTGCAACTCAATGACAATTAACACTATAATCTCTGCCGTACATAGGCAGCTCAGCCATTTCCCCTAGAACCCGTGATCAGGGTCGCAAACAAAACTTCCAGCAGGTCTCTCACGGCTACACCCACATAGGTGAGACCCGGTGTGAGGACAGAGAATTGGTATCCTGAGTAATTAGCCACAACCAGTTGACTGGACTGTCCGAGTTCAGGAACAGGTTCTTACCGAGTTTTGTGGATCATGTGAGATGGAATTGGCCCGAGGATTTTTTCCATCATGACAAGATGCTCACGATTCTCATGGGTCTGCAAAGGAAAAGAGCAGTGGTGCATTAGTTCGGAACGTGGAGATCTGATGACAAAAGGTCTGTCCCCTATACAAGTACAGGGGAAGAGACAAGCCTCCGTCAGGAATGATGCGGCTCCTGTCCACCTCCACTTGCTCTCTTGATTCTTCTATTCTTCACGGGTACAGTGAAGAAACCAGAAGTGATCTGCACCTTGTCCTTCCAGCAAGGCGCGAGTCCTCAAACCGTCAGTCTTCCTGGGCTTATTTTCAAACTCGTCTTCTGATTTTTAGTGCCTGATCTGCGTTTCCCTTCCCTTCACACTAAGGATTTTTAGGGTACACT